GGTTTAGGAGTCACCCCCTCGGCTGGCTACGTGGCCACCTGGTGATTACTAACAACCCCTCCCCCCACACACACACCGAAACAAAAATCAGACAGCTAACCCTTTGCCTCCTGTAACTCGAAGGCACAGGCTAGCCAAAGACTGGGTGTGAACCAGGCTTCCCTTTTCTTGCCTTAAATCTGCGCGGTCCCTCCTCCGAGAAGGGCAGCTCCTCAAGTACAGGGCGCATCACCGAGGCCAGAACAAGCCCCCCTGCCACCGAGGGAGGGAGGGGAAAGCTTGCCCATGACTGGTCGAAGGAGGGCGAGGTGGGCTGTCTGGTTGACAGGGCCCCTGCCTGCAGTCAAGCGATCCAGGTAGTCCTGGCTGGAGAACCCAGCCTCGCGGCAAGGCTCTTGGGGATTTAGCGGTGGGCAGAGGAGAGAGCGCTGACTTGGAGCCAGAGGCTGTGTGGCTTTGGACAGGTCACTTGCTGTGCCTGGACCTCTGTAAAATGGAGATGAATACTAATCACGCCACTTCACAGAGGGGTTGTGAGGACAAAAAGAGATGTGAGAATAGTCTGAAACTCTACAAAGCTGAGATGACATGGTTAGGTTTGGCTTCACCCCACCTGCACGCCCAACATAAGCTTCCAGAAGAAGGAAGGAGGGAAAAGAATTTCTGAGTCTAACAGAGGAAACAGGGCCAGAGCAACGTGGATGCGTTAGACTATGTAGACGAGCCCAGCTCCAGAGCCAGACGGTATGGGTCCAAACCTGGGCTCTTCCATATTAGAGCTGTCGCCTTGGGCAAGTCACATGCCCTCTTTTTAAGCCGCAGTATCACCTTCTGTGAAGTGGAAATCTGGCATACCTCCTAGAGCATGAGATCACACAGGTGAGGCTCTTGCCTTGAAGGCCTTGCAGTGCCCCCTAAATGTGAGCTCTGAGTACTCTTCTCATTACTGTATGTTGCAGCTTCTGGGAACAGCACACACTGCAGGGCGAGGAGATTCATCTAACAGCTAACACAAAGAGTAGAAAACAGAGTTTCATCCTTCCTACCTGACTGGTCTTAAACAAGATACCTCTCTCTGAGCTTTAGTATCTCATGGGGAAAATGAAGCTTATTACACCCACCTCATAAGGTGTGATAAACCCTTACGTGCTTTTGGAGAAAACAAAATACTTATGTTCCAGTTATCTTTTATTACATCAAAAACCACTTCAAGAGATAGTGGCTTAAAGTAACAGTCCTCATCATTTTGCTCACCAAGCTGCAATTTGGACAGGGCTTGGTGGGGGCAGCTTATCTCTGCTCCTTGCAGCCTCAGCTGGTATGGCCCAGCTGGAGCTGAGGGTCTTCTTCCAAGATCACGCACATGTGGCAAGCCAGGTGATCCTGGCTGTCAGCTGGGGCTGCCACCCAGGGCCTCGGGTACTCTCAGCAGGGCCTCCGGAAGAGGCTACTTGGGCTTCCTCACAGCGGGGCACCTAGGTTTCAAGAGCAACTATCTCAAGAAACAGGAGGTGGGAGCTGCCATCTCTTTAGACCTGGACTCAGAAGCCTGCGCAATGTGGCTTCCATGTTATATCTGGTTGGTCCAGTAGTCACAGAGCCCACCTGGATTCAAAGGAAGGGGACTTACACCCAATTCTCCACGAGAAGAGTATCAATTTCCAACCATCTTGAATCTACCACAAATTGCAAGTCTTCCTTTTAGGTTTTTTTTCTGGGTGCCATGGTGACAAATTAATTACTCTTTGCAGAGGATGTCGGGTTTCTCCTAGGAGAAGAGCAACAGCGATACAAATGTCCATGACTGGGGCCTTATCGCAGAGCCTGTTTGGTCAGGGTCAGTTTTCCTGGTCCTGATTCAGGGCTGAGGGAGCAGGTGAGCTATGTGGTGGCTTCTCTAGTGTCTGTTTCCCTGGAACTTCTGAGGCTTCTGTCACCAGCTCTGCCAGCCCCGTGCCTTTGAAACAAAAAAGGGAAGCAAGAGAGAGAGTAATTTGAATTCAGAAAACTAGATTTTAGCACGTGGCCCAGACTGAGTGTAATGAGCATCTCTGTAGCTCTCACTCCCCGGAGAAATCGGTTTCTCAAGAGGAATTCCGCCTGGGTGTTTGGAGTGATTGTTGTCAGACATTATTAGGTTATTAATTGATGGACTGGAGCACTCCAGGGCTGGAGGCAGGAGGCCGACGGGGGTGGCAGGCCCAGGGTGTTGCCATGGTAACCATGGGGCCTGTGGTTTGTGCGCTGGTCTCCAAGCCGGAAAGATGCCCCAGACAATTCAGACGTTCTCAGACAGACCACAGACTCTCCGAAGAGAGACCAGCCTCTCTCCTTCACACATGGCCACCCACCCACATGCCCTCAGAGTCAAAACCAAGCCTCTTCCTGTTACCTCATACCATAGCCTGACTGCCTCCCCCAGCTTGTTAGCTCCCAGCTCCAATTTTGGCTTTCGCTGGCCTTCCAGGAAGGCTGCAGAAAGAAAGAGGAGCTTAGATTCATTTATTCATTCAGATGTTCTGCACATTTTTGTTGTGCACTTTGGGCCAAACCACCTTCTCTCCAACAGAGTACAATACAGACCCAGCTCCTCCTTCCTCGTGAAGCTTGTCATCCAGAGTAGGAGACAGACACTAACAAATAATCATACAAATTCCCATGCACTGCATTGGTAATTATTAAAATACAATTAATTCAGACCTTGACTTGAGTCCCAGCACTGCCACTTGCCAGCCGTGTGACCCTTGGTCTCTTCAGTGGTAAGGCCAGGATAACAGTATTTTCCTCGCAGAGTTGCTGTGAGGCACATCAGTGCACTTAGGGAAAGCACAGTGCTCCCATGTAGTGGTAACTCAAAGCACGTAAGCAGCCACCCACGTGCCCTTGTCCAGAACCCAGCTGTCATTCAGAACCCACCAGCCAACTTCTGTCTCTGTGGTCCCAGCCACAGTGATCCAGCACCCAGGCCTCACCGCTCAGAAGTCTCAAGTTGGCCAGGAAAGGCTGAAAGGAACCCAAGGAAAGCTCAAGTGGGTGCTGTGGGATGGGGTGGGGAGGGACATGCTCGTCCCCTGGGTGTCAGGGAGGGCTGTGTGGAGGAAGTGGCGTTTGAGCCGCCCTTAAAGCAAATAGTTCTCAGACTTTAGTGTGTGTCAGAAAAACCTGAGGGAATTGCCCAAAGTACAGCTTCTTGGACCTCCGTCCCTCAGTGATTCTGATTCGGTGAATCCAAGGCAGGACCTGGGAACCTGCACTGAACAGGGGATACTGAGGTAGGTGTCCTGTGGCTCACCTGGGAAACAGTGCTTTGAAGAATGGAGGGGGGCTGGCCTTGAAGACTGATGAGAAGAGTTTTGGAAGGAGGAACAGAGGCCGGGAAGTGGGTAGGCCACGTGTAGGGCCTCCCAGCCGGGGGCGGAGGGGCCCACGCTGCCAATCCCCCACTCTCAGGGTAGAGCTCAAAGCCCAGCCCCGCCCAGAGGGCAACACGCCTTGCCCTCACCTCACATCATTGATCGCGCTACTGGTTGGTCCAGATGGCTTTGGTTTCATTGTGCTTCCTCCTCTCTCGTGTTAGGCTTTGTCCCGGGTAAGAGTGGGGGCGGGGGGGGTCTAAATATTTATTTATTTATTTCCTCTCTTCTTTCCCCATCCCCCAGCCCCCCACCTCAGCTGTCCTCTTTCTTTCAGTGTCAAGCATTTATTAAGTGCCCACCCCTTGGGCAACATTGTACCGATCACCATGAGGCTGCAAAAGAGAGGAAGGTGGGTGTGGGCTCATAGGCCTGGGAGCTGGTTAGAAGTGCAGAAGCTCGCCGCCCCCCGCCCCCCTCAGCCTTGCAGATCTGGAATCTGCACTTAAACAAGAGTCCTGGGAGATGCGTGTACACAAAGACAGTACTGCCGTGCAGGGTTTTAAACAGGTGCAACATGGTAGCTGTGGTGGCCAAACAATGGCCCCTCAATGGTGCTGAGTTCCTAGTCCCTGGGACCTGTGAACATTACCTCACATGGCAAAGGGACATTAAGGCAGCAGCTGGAATTAAGGTTGCTAATCAGCTGGCCTTCAAATAGGGGGATTGTCCTGGGATATTCCAGTGAGCCCAGAGTGATCACAGGGTCCTTAAAAGTGGAAGAGGAGCCGGGAGGGTCAGAGTCAGAGACACACACTGCTGGCTTTGAAGATGGAAGGGGGGCCACGAGTTAAGGAATGCCAGAAACCTCTAGAAGCTGGAAAAGGCAAAGAAATAGATTTTCCCCTAGACCCTCCAGAAGAAATGCAGGCCTGCTAACACTGATTTTAGTCCAGCAAGACCCACTTTTGACCACCAAACTGTAAGCTAAGAAATGTGTGCTGAAAAAGAAAAGGAGTGGGTTGGGTGATAGCTCAGTGGCAGAGCATACGCTCAACAGGCACAAAGTCCTGGGTTCAATCCCTAGTATCTCTACCAAAAAGAAAGGAAGGAAAGAAGGGAGGGGAAAGAAAGAAAGAAAAATATGTGTTGTCTTAAGCTGCTGAGTTTGTGGTAATGTGTTTCAGCAGCAACAGGAGACCAGTCAAGAGCCCTGTCTTTGGAGGCAGGCAGTTATGCAATTTCCCTGCTGTGTGATGCTGAGCAAGTTGCTGGC